TTGAGCTGGTTTTGATGGGGTTTTTAAACAGCCTTTCAATGTTAATCTGCTTAAATCTTCACCTGGCTTTTTAATTCAGAGCAAAAATTCAGGCTAAGCTGAAAATAGAGCATATCTACTTTGAGTAAGGAAGGAAAGGAGAAAGAAGAAGCAAATAAATATTTCTGCATGGACTTAGTCTTGCATTAGCATTACTAAAATTACCTGTTGCCAGATTCTTTAATGTCTGTGACATCTTAAAATCCAATTTCAGCAGGGGTAAAATAAAAGCTAATTGTGTTTGTCTTGTTGCAACTAGCCAAACACCCTACCTTTCTCAACTTCATTAAAATGGTTCAATTTTCTTTGTTTTCCACTAGGATAGAGAAAAACTTTCTCAGCTGCTTTTCTGATTTTACTTCATTGATAGTAATTTCAGTTCAGAGCCATGGAAAGATATTAAAAAGAGATCAAACAAATGGAATGGGTGTTTTACAAGCCTCTGTGATGTTAAAGTTGTCTGCACTGGTATAAATTCATACTGCTCAGCTTTAAGTATTTCACTTGTGTGCCTTAGGTAGAAGTTTAGGTTTCATCCATAATCTGCAGCGTCTTTGAAATGGAGTCTGAGGTCTCTGAGGCTATCTTAGGACTTCAGGTCTGTCCTCCTCCTCAATTATGCAGTTCCAGTGACTGCTGCTAAAGCCCACTATGATTCCTATTTATCAAGGAAAGCATCCCCTGATTATCTTCCCATGGTAAAAGGTGCTGGGCAGAGGTTGTTGCAGTCTGTCTGTGAGAGGACAAGGCTGGAGGTCTCCGTTTTGCCCCTCTGAATCAGCCCTAATCTGTCTAAAGAGGTTGAGCTCTTAATTTGGGCACATCAGTGAACTGACTGATAAACTGGGGCTGGATCCAGAAATGCATCATCACAAAGGCTGATTTTTATGATGGGTGGGGAGGCAAGAGCAGGTATTTGGCACCTCGTTATCAGCATCTGACACAGTGCCACACTTGGTGGCAAATGTTAGGAGACGACAGAGGCTGTGGGACTGTGTCCACCCGTCACAGTCCCTGCTATAACCAACCCTGCCAATTTTGTATTAATCAAGTCACAAACTGAAGTGTCTTGTGCTGTTGGGATGGGTTTTCTACAAGGCATCAGACCTCTGCTGCAGGCACACTTCTGCCCGAAAGGGGCAGAGAACAAAGTATCTCTAACAAGCACTAGAAAGAGTCAATAGGTGACCCTTACTGAGCTCCCCAACTTGGAAATGAGATCATTTGATATTCCAGCTACAACCCCTCATGCTAAACTTTTCTTGGGAGAAAGAGTGGGGAGAATTTGGTTGCAGTTGTACAAAACAACTAATTTAAGAAAGAGCAATAAAAATGGACCTAGATTAGCTTTCTTTTAGTTAGGGAGAGTGAAACTAGAAACTAATTTTTATTAATGAAAAATCTAAAAAAAAATTAATCATAAAATCTTCAAGTTTCTATTTCATATGAGGAGCTGTATGACAGAAAAGCAGCGGGGCTCTCTGTTGCTGAAGGGAATTGGTGGGATCTCTCTAAATATTAAGACATCACTGGGTCATGGAATACAAATTTAAAAGAGTGATTTGACATTTCACAATAACACCAAAATTTTAGTCACCATCCAAAAAAAAAAAAAAGAAAGGAGAGAGGTGCATATACAGATGGCATATTATTGATAGATCAAGTAAGAAAGCAGCATATAAGTACGTTACTGGTTTTCTTTATTTAGTGAAAAGCTGTCTGACCCTGCAGTTATGCAGTGTCTCAGCATTCCTTATTTGTTTCCTTAAATATTTTTCATCTGCCTTCAAGGAAGTTTAGGTGACTGATAAATTACTTTGAGCTGCTCCTCCTATGTGGTGGACCCAGGGCCTTGGCAAGTGCTGTTGCTGCTGGCAGCTCTGCTGGCTCCAAGATGGAGCAAGCTGTGTTTGGGAAAAGGAAGATTAGCCAGTTTTCTTCCTTTGAGGAAGCAAATCCATCTCTTGTCATATTAAAGGTGCTATACTTATTTAATCTTAAGAAACAAGATTGCATTTACTGTTTTACATTTCACATTTCATTTACTGTCTCACTCCCAGCGAGAATAAACCTCACTCAGGTTTATATGCCTGGTGAAAATATCTAAGTGAGCCTTCACTAACACTGCTAGCTGTGGTACTATTCACTACAAAGACCACAGCTTTTCCTTATCTGCATTTGTTCACATGCAGACTGCATGAATTTCAGAGGTGAGTTTTTTCAGACCTGCCCAGATGAAAGTTAAAGTGCAGATCTCCAGAGCATCCAATAGCCAACTGGTAAGCACAGCTGTCCCGAAAAGGCAAGGTCAAACTAAACAGCTGAGCCTCCACTGTATATACACTGAAAATATTTCCCAAGGCTTTCAGCAAAGTCAGAACAAAGTCATAATTTGAATAAATATTTCCTTACTTTTACTAAATAAAAATATTTTATATCTTTGATGCCTTGAGAAGGCTGATCTAGAACAGAGGCTAGACAGAGTGAAGAATAAAGCAGGTATTTATTGAAAGGCCTTAAAGGATACACCTTGGGCAGTACAAGAGCTTGGCCAGGGCTACACCCAACATGGACCTAAAAATGGTCTCACATTTATAAGTTTTGGTCCATCTGCTTATCAGGATTAATTGTCCAATCACAGCTCCAGGTTGTGAGGTCCCATCCTTCTTGTTTTCTCTCTTCAATCCACTGTTGTTTATGCTTTTGGGCCTGAAACTTGTAACGATTGTCCTTGGTATCAAGCTAGAAAAGGAATTTTGTCTACCTACTCTGCGAAGAGTGCTCACTAACACTTAATATGAAGCTCAAAACTATGCACCTAGGAAACACAGAAATGAAAAATATGAAAGCTAAAACTTAAGGCATCACCTTTAAACCTAACTCTGCTAAATGAAATGGAATTTGAGGATTACATACACCCTATGCCTCTATATTAAATTAGTTTAACCAAAGTAAATAAAAAACTTTATATCCTACTAAGTTTTTTCAATTCATCCTGTGCAACACTATTGACTGCAAAAAAAAAAAACCAACATAAATTTAAAAACAAAAATGAAAAAATCAGTCAGAAGTTTGTCAGTGGATTCTAGGCCTGAAAAACCACTGTTCTATTAAATGGCCAGAGAATTTAGAAAAACTCTGGACAGCTGGAGGATGGCCAGAAGCTCAACCTAAGGTAGCTGTCATGCTTGCAAAAAATATCTTTATTCTGACTGTACTTTCTGACACTGTTATTACTTTTTGCCATCAAGAAAAACCAAAAGCCTTCATGGAAAAGTGCTCAGCAGCACATCCCAGTGTTGTAGAATGACTTGGATGCAGCACTGGATTTCCAGGCACTAGAATTCACCCGGCCATACCCTCTGGAAGCAGCAAACACCAAGCATTTGACAAACCTTGGACTTGTTGAAATAAGCATGCACGTCAAAGACAAAGGATTACAATCAAAGGGATAGGAAAGCCTAGAAAAGAAAAATATTGGCAGAACCCAACATTTAGGATTATGGCACAGATGTCATGAACCAGTATGGCAAGTCCCCTGTCCTCTGCTCAGCCAGGGTGTGCCACAAGGTCTCACAAAGGATTTCTGCAGGTAGCCAAACACATGACATTACAATTTGAGTAAGAAAGAGCAAGGCTGGGGAGTTCTGTGTAAATACTTGTCACTGACTGATCTCTTATACCTTGAAGATGCATTCCTAGAAAGGAAGAAAACCTGAAAATTGCTCTTCTCATTGTACATTCAAAAAAGCTGAAAAGTGCCATTATATTAGTCTTTCTCAGACCTAAGAGAAACTTTTCCAAATGTCTATAAAGGCAAATATTAAATAAATGGCTTGCTGAAATAATGGAACAGTTGTTGGACTTCATAACAAATGCATATTTTTAAAAGAAAGAAAGAAAATACTGGGAGGGGGCGTAATTTTTTTTTGTTAGTTGTTTTGAAGTCTATAACTAGAAACACATCGTTACCAGTTTGTACTCACATCAACTTTGTATCAGAGAAAAATAAAGTTTTGTTTATATAATATTGTAAGATAAAAGAGTAACTATATAAATTTAAGAAAGCAAATCGCTTATGCCAAGTTAATGTCAATTAGCATTATGAATGACAATTTAAGGAAGATTATATGATGTATTGCAGGTTTGAAACAACTAAAAATAGAAAAGCTATGCAAGCCATAAAAATTGCACAATGTACAACTTTCAATTACAGGAAGATTAGGTTTGCAATCCTTGACTACAAATGGAGTTTCTTTCTGATTGTTGGGATAGATCTGCTGAGGCCATTATTAATACAGACAGTCCCAAGCTTTCCAAATGACTCAGAAATTTAAAAATATGATATGATATTTGGCTTAAAGTGGTGAATTTTTTATAAAATCATTCAATTTTTGCCTTCCATTTTCTGAGCTGGGTTCACAGTTTCCAAGTATGTTCTAGCACCTTGAGGAACTTTAAAACTGGAAACAATGAATGCTGTATAACCAATGTGATACTAGCAATGGGGCTTTTAAAAGACAGGAAAAATCCAAGATGAACATTGTAATATGTCATAGTAATGTAACATGGTCATAGGATTCCATAGTGCCGCTGCAGAGTTCCTGGTTACACTAAGTCCTTAACTCAGGGTGCTGATTTTTAACTCATTATACTAAAAAATTTCAGAGAAAATAATGTACATTGAAGATGTCCTTGGGAATCATCAACAGTCCCCAAGGGCTTTAACAGCTCTGCAATTCAGATGAGCCTTTGAAAAACTCTTGATTATCATGTTCACATTTTCTTGCTTTGAAATAAGTCTTTTTGGTTACCTCCTGGAGCTGACATCTGCAGAAAGCTCAGGTATAACTTTCCAGCCATGCTATTGCAACAGCATCTCCTAAATGTTATTTATTTAGGAGTGTGGCTCCAGCTGGGAGCCATGTGTCAGCAGAACAGCCCGTGGTGTGCAGAAATACCTGTGTCGAGGGATGCTCCCAGGGCAGGGGCTTCACTAGAATCTAGGTCCGGAGTGGGGAGGAGGGAGTCGAGGGTAGAGGTGTCCCTGTGCCATGGCTCTGCTGCTCCCACCTGAGGCTGACTGGTGTCCCTGCTGCTCCCTAGAGAAGAGATAAGGCTCAGGGGCCGCATGCCAGGACAAAGAGAGAAGCAGCATGTTCTGCTTGTGTACCAGCCAGCCAGCAGGCCAGCTAGAAAACACAGGCTTCCAGACTTAAAGTGGCTTGAAAATACTTATATCTTTTATTTAGACATTCCTGCTGTCTTTATCCATGTGTTTCCATGACAGTGCACAGTGGCCTGAAGAATCCAGAATACACGAGGCGAGGCATTTGCAGGTATGATACAGTAGAGCAACCAGGTGGTGAAACCTCACACTCCCTTTGCCTCCAAAGAAGTAATTACAGCTTTCTGCTGTAATGTGGCAATCAACACCAAGAAACCCCTCCAACCCAAAAAAAGCAGCCATAATGAGGGAAGGAAAAAGTTAGTAGGTGATGTGCTGGGCTCCTCATTGAGTAGAGCAGATCTGCAGAATGTGTGCAGTGCAATGACACAACATGGTGACACGACAGCAGAGTATTGGTGACACTGCAGGCAGTCCTGCAGAGCTCTGACTGCTCAGTGGGAACACAGGACTCCCATGGCTGGCTGAGCCAGCCAACCTGCAGCACAGCAAGACATGCAGACCGGCTTCTCTCACAGCCTACAAAGCAAACAAAGGAAGGTTGGGACATGGTGGAAACTCCAAATCCTGGAGGTATAGAACACATGCAGGGAGCAAGGAGCCTTGCTCAGGGAGAGCTGGGGATGTTGCTGAGTACATGGGGGTCAGAGCCATTGCATTGGACAAAGGCAGGGTCTCACGTTGATAAAAGCTCATTCATGCATTTGATTATGTTGCATAAACAAACAGAATTGTGGATTCCCTCAATTCTGCCCTGACCCTCTTGACTGAGCAGCATGGTTATGGCATAAAAGAAGTTTTGCAGGTCAAATACACTCCAGACACAGCTGGCATGGAAACACCAGAGCCAGTGGGTCTGAGCAATGCTGTGTCGAGCCAGGCTCAGTGGAGAGGGACTGGATGGGTCACAGAGATTCTGAGGGCTGACTGTGGAGGTCTTTCCTGAGAAAGGAAAACAGGGTGTTTTGGGAAGCTGCAATCTTTTAAAATAAGACAGTAACAATTCTGTTCAACTCTACAAAATGACTGCTATTTAAATAATTTATATAGTTCTAATAATACTCCTTATATAGTCATACAAAGAACATTACCATTCAAGGAACAAAGCAGGACTACTGCAGTATCTAAGTCAGTAGCAGTCAGAGCAGTGTATGACCCCTTTGTCTATTATTTCTTAACAAACTGTATGCGAATTCTTGCAAAATAGTTACTATTAACTTGGTATTTGTATTTTTTTTCCTTGCTCAGAGTGGAAAGAACAAGATCTATTTGATTATGAACAATATAAGGAGGGATGCAGTAATGAAATCTTAACCAGCTATAATTCCCGCATACATATTAAGGAAAACTTAGCTTTACAGTAAAGTTATTTTACTGATATGTATTTTCATTTTCTAGAAAATTTGCTTAGAGAATTTCAAGCTACTTCTTGGAAAAATTGAGCAATTGCCCATCTATTTCTTTATTTATGAATAGCAGAAAACATTTCCTACATGTGCAAGGATTCAGGTTATCACACTGCTATCCCCACAAGCCCTGAATCACATCTCTCATGACAATTTACAAGAAGCAGAATAGAGATAACTTGTATGAGACACATGGGATTTTCAGCAATTAATTCTTTGGCCTATGAAAGGTTTGTCCTTCAAAAAAATTCAGAGAGAGTTTTTTTCATTCATTTGAATGGAGGAACGATCAAGACTACTGTTTTTAAAAGTTAATATGCAACTATCTAGACCTAAAAAAAGAAAGTGAGTCATGTTTTTGCAATGAAGAGCTGGATTTTCAGTGCAATTCACACAATGTAAGAAACAAAGAAGAATTTGCTGTCAACAAGCACATACGAATTATTAAGATACAAAAAGGGTGGACCAAGGCTTAGTGGGTCAAATTCTGACCTCATTTGCCTTTAGTCTTCTGAGTTTAAAGATGTTACTCTGGATTTTCATCAGCCTAAATGAGACTGAAGTCTGATGTTCTGTAAGCAAACAAAAGTGGCATTATTCATGATTTGCAGAAACCTTTTCCACAGAAGATATTGTTTAAAAATAGGCCCTTAAGGGTACTTTGTTTCCACCATATATTGTTTTAAAGTCATTTTACAAGTGTATTAACTACATCTTCCCAAGAAGAGACATCCTGCAACACAGACAGAAGTAATTTCTATCCTCTGCTACTTGACCAAGCAGCAGGATAAGGTAGACATGGTAAACTCTTTGGAAAAGCTTTTTCTTCATTAAGCACTAAAATATCTCAAGATAATATTTATACCTATATATGTCTTCTTCATTTTAATTAAGTGATGACACAGTAAATATACTGAGCAAAAGAAAGAGCCAAGGTGAATATCACTGTAATAATTTAAATATTCCCCATTATACAACACTGTGTTGTATTAAAAAGCCCATGGGATTTTGCTGCTGATTTGAATACAGCTGGTATTTCACACAGAGACATCAAACAAGTGCATCAAAATGCTCCTAAACCCCTGTTAGGCTAATGAAAGACAAACATTTGGTTGCAGACTTTTCATTACGAGCAACTCAAAGCTAGCAGGGTTTAACATCACAGCCCTTTGCACAGCAGGATGATTCTTGGGCTGCCTCTTCCATCCCAGTTGTTGAGAGTTTTATCATGTGCACTAAACAGAATAATTTTTGTTTGTTACTCTCAGCAGAGTAATAAGCTATTGATTCTCTGTAGATTTGTTTTGGAGAAAGCCTCTCATCTCTCCTTGTTCACATACACATGCTCCCTCTCCCCCAGTGAAGCATGGATCAGGAAACCAAACGTAGCAGAAAGCTGAAGTTTACTTTGGCAAGTTTGCCAAGTAGCCCTAATTAAAGGGGTCAGTGAAAGTCCCCATATTCCCACTGATCTACAAGCCACCATTCCCAGGACTTTCAAAGGAAAATCTGGGGAAAGCAAAGAGCTCTCAAAGTTGCTTTTTACTTCAAGCTCCAAGCCCCAGCAGCCACACTGGGGATAGTACAACAAAGGGCAGGTCCTGAACAGACAGTTTGGTGGGCCACTGTGAAGGTCTGGCTGTGGACAGCTAATCAGAATGGGACATAAAATTAAGGTGATTTTTCCAAGCACCCTACACCACACCAGCATCACTGGACAAGGCTTTGGGATGCATGAAGGGGCACCTCTGTCCCACAACCCACAGGCCACCACAGGGGCAGGAGGCATGTGACAGCTTCCACTCCCAAATCGACTCTTTGACTATCACTGTTATCATCAGAAGTGTTTGTCAGAATTACAGTTCCATTTAATTATCAGTGCCCCAAGAACCCAGGACCCCACATCAACCCCCTGGGGCCACCAGCCCTAGCCCAAGGATTGCTGCAGCAGGGCTGGTCTCCAGCTCCACACAGCCCAGCCCTGTCCGGCCTGTCCATGGAGGCCACCAAGCTGGGCCTACAGCCCATCCTGGGCTCCTCCTATCTCCAGGAATGTGCCTGATGCCAAAGTCTGGGGCTGTCCCCAACTGTCTCCCTCAGGTCTCTGTTCCCCAGGGGGATTACCACCCTCAGTCCTCAGAAAGAAGTCATTCCTGCAGTGGCCTGACATCTATTTCCTTAATTGTCTACTTAACTGCTTGTATTCACAGTTGGGATTCCCCTTTGCTCTGGTTCAAGTATTTTAAAAGCTTTTTCATTGTCATTTATCTTCATATGTGCATGTAGTAGCTTAAATTTGTGCTTTCCTTTTCCTACAGTCTATTACAAAAGCTCTTTTTGCCTTCTGCCACAGGGCAGAAAAATGCTAAAAAGGAAATCAGCCTGCTTATTCCTGAGAAAAGGACTGTAAAAAAAACAAATTCTCCCCCAGTATCTCTCTTTTACTCTTACAGAGACATCTGGTTCTCCAGTGATCTTGATCCCAAGCACTGGGATATCAGGCTCAGCAGGACTGGGAAAAAGCTTCTCTCTGAAGCTCCCCTTGAAACTTGATTAATCCACTCGGTAAGGATTAGAAGTCAAACAGCTAAAAAAGATTGCTGTCACAGTCTTAACAGCTGGCAAACAAGAGTCTCCTGGAGTTTTCCAAGAAGCTATGGCACAAGAGACCAGGGGATATTGGATTTGACCAAACATCCTTTACTCTATGGTCCTGGGAGGTGGTGGGATCAACTGTACCCACATCCTCTTCTGCTTTTCATTGGCTCACACCAAGAGAACTCTGCAGAGGTAATTCCAGGGAACCAACCCTCTGAACTCTGTAACTGAAATTTCTTAAGGGCAACATGTGAATGCAATTGTGCCTTCTCCAGGAAAGGTTCATCACACATTATATGGTGTTCATAGGAATTCTCCCAGTCAATAATTGTCACACTTTGTCAAACAAACTTTCAAAATGCCAGACCCGTTTCTTTAATGATTACTGTCATAAATCTAATGAACTGCATACAATGGTGGCTGAAGGTGTCAACCAAATAAAAATTTTCATTGACTTCCCAGCTTTTGGTTGAAACCCTAGAACTTTTCATACTGCAATTTCAAGCAACTTGGGGGGTGGGGGAAACCCACATTATTTCAAATGAAGATCCCCTCAGAAGATTCAAAATCTTTACTCAACCTCCTAAATATTTGGCACAGCATATCCTTGCAAGCCTGAAATTATTAATCTGTTTGCTCTGGTTTCTTTTATGGTGCTATTATACAAGACTGTTGTACTTTGTCATTTGTAGCACATTACCTCAGACTTATTCAGGTACAAAGATGGACTTCTGGGATGATCAGGGTAATGGAGAGCCTATCATATGAGAAGACAGAATGAAGAGCTTGGCTTGTTTAACTTGGCAAAATAAAGGCTGTTAAGGGATCCAGTTGCTGTGTACAAATATATCACAGAGAGAAACATCAGGGAGATGGGAGAGCCATTTCAGTTAAATGAGTGTTGGCAATG